ACACACACACACACACACTGCACAACGCAGGTTAGTTCTTCAAGCAAAATTCCCTAAGTCCAAAATGGTAAATTTTTAAAATGTCACATACATTTATTTTCCCCAGATAAGCTCTAGAATCATAAATTACACTTCTGATAAAGGAACATTCATTGATATTCCTTCGGAGGCACTCACAGAGACACCAAGAGAAACATTAGATATGGTTGAGCCTGCATATCTAGTTTCTAAGGTTCGTGTCTTTTTTTTAGTTATCTAAAACTAATTAAATAATTTATCAAAAGAGGCTTCACCATTTACAATGTTCAAAGTTTGCCAATGCAAGCTAATTTCACTCCATTTCAAGAACAAAACAAAAACTAGAATAAGCGATAGTTTCCAGTTGTTTTAATTTTGGATATCCTTATGCTTGTCTCACATGTTGTATATGCTTAGTACTTTTAAGGCATTTTAAGAATATGAATACCATCACCAACTCCCAAAAACAAATTGCAAAAGTGTTGAAAATTGTTGTTAAGAAGAGTGGTGGGCTGAAAGTTATAAAACTAGTTTACATAAAAACACACAAGCATGAATTTTTAACTTTTTACTATTTTCTACAGTATCTGTACTCGAGAACTACATTTTCTTTTTTCCCCCCCAAGTATGTAACGTTCCTTTTTTTTTTTAATTTTTATTAGTGAAACACTCTGAGGTACAGTTGTAGACTTACAAATTCTTGAGCTTGGGTTTCAGTTATACAATGATGGAGTACCCATCCCTCCACCAGTGCCCATTCTCCACCACCACTAATCCCAGTATCCCTCCCACCCCCATCCCCCATCCCCCTTTGCCTCTGTGGCAGGGAACTCCCTTTGGAGAACTACATTTTCAAAGTGGCTTCTAGAACTACATTCTCAGCTCTATCAAAGAGCAAATTCCTAGAGCAAACCCATATAAAATTTAAACGCTTGTGACTTGAATCTTCATTTTTTATCTTGATATTTATTTGAGATTCTAAAAAAACGAAAAGACTAATTCAAATGACTGAAAAACTCAAATGACTAATAACAGAAAAACCATTACCATAAAATATTAATTATTCCACTTTTCTGCCATTCACCTTTCAGATACAACCCTCATGTCTAAAAATTAGGTATAAGGGGTGAGGGTTTAAAATTGAAGTGTATGTAGGTTTAAACTTAGGTGTATCTAAAACCAAACTTTCTGAACCTAATTTTTCATTTCTAAAATGAGATATTAATACCTACCTTGAAGAACTGTTATAATGATAAGTGGAAATACACATAAAACAGTTAGCAAAAAGAAACTTTAGCTGGTAGCATTAATTTAATAGTTACAAACACATCTGAAAGAAGATATAAGAAATGACATGATCAGAACACAGATCAGACTGGGTTATATTTAAATACTAAAACAAAACAAAATGCCGATAGTTCAAGTAAAAATTTTGGGCTTCTAATTTTTTCTTCACATTTTAGATGCAGAGGATAAAAGGACAGTCCCTCTCTATAAATATGCAAAATCCAAAATTAGCTACAGGTCCACTAATTTTGAATATGAATAAAATAAAAACAAAACCATATTATCACACAACAAAACATAATTTTATAGCAGGTGAGACGACTTCACCATTGGAGACGCCAAAACTAAGATTTTAAAATGTTTATGAAAGGATAGTAAAAGATTCCTACCTTCAAACCGACTGCTATAAGATCTGTAACAACACTGTATGGAGAAAGTAAAAAGAGAAAATGGAAAACAAAGTTAGAGAACAAGTTTTAAAACGACAGATAAGATCAAAGAGAAAAGAAAAAGCTTTATGTTAAATAATAAAAATAAGAATGTGATGAGTTGTGAAATGTTAATGAAAAAGAAAAGTGATAGGACAGTCTAGCAACAGCAAAGTGGTCAAAACAAAACTTTAATAGCAATGTAGGAAATAAATCAATTGCTTTTAGTATTTAGCAACGTGTAGCTGTGCCTCAATAAATGTTTATTTATTCCTAAACAATCCAAGCCCAAACTTTTAAATGAAACTAGTGAGACCTTAAGGAAAAAAGAGGGTACTTAAAATTTTCATCTACTACCCAAAAGGATCTAGTCTCTCACAACTAAAATATACCAAATTTCAAGATACCGAAAGTTTCTGATTTGCTTTACTGAAAAATTCTACATCAAAACTGTGGTTAAGCAAGATTATCTTTGTAAGAAATTAGCACATACACAGCTGCACAAACGCAATGGAGATCTAAGGAGGAACTAGAATGATACATTGACGGGGGTTTGTTAAAGATCCAGAAAAAAAAAAAAAGGACCTTTTTGACTGTGGGATATACAGAAATTTAATAAGCTTCCTGAAAACAAAAAGTTCAAAACCACGTAACTTAAGGCCAAGTTGTAAAACCGTCAAAGCTCAGCTGAACAAAAATCTGTCTCTTCTGACTCAGAATATGACTGTCTTCAATTGTTTGCCTCTGTATCTCCTAAAACAAAGTTACAACTAAACTGTATACATTGTTAAGAACCTAGTGTCCTGGGCTGGGAAAGATAGCTCAACGGGCTGAGCGGAGGGAAGGTCAAGGTTACATCTCAGAGGGCACTGCGTGAGTCCCATAGTACTCATGGGTCCAGGCCACCCCCTGCACAGACCCTGTGTGCCGCAAATTCCCCTAATAAAACAAAATAACCTTTATCATTTAATATGCAAATTTAAGACAGCACCATGATGCAAAAGCGTCTGGAGTAATTATGAATGCAGATTAGAGATGGGATTTAAAATTAATTTATTTCCTGAAATTTACAGGTAATAACCCCTTATTGTGTGCATGAAAATAAATCAAAATACTATGGTATTGGTTATGATGCAGAGTGAATCAAAGCCCTACTTGAAGCTCATATTGAAAACAATAAACTGATTCTTTAATACGTTTATTATATTATTGGCGTGATAATAATATCTGGGAGTCCCCTTTACAAACTGGAAATGTATAGATACCAACAGTGCACCCCCCCCCAAGAAGATTCCAGTGTCATTTACAACTGAACCCAGATCTCCATTCCTCCCACCTTCCTCCCCCTGATAATCATCGTATTTTTCTCCAAATCTCAAAGTTACTTTTGTCGTATGCTGTGAGCTCCCTTTACTTTTAATAATCTATTCGCTTTAAAACCACAGGTTGAAGAGAGGGTTAAAGGTTGAAGAGAGGCTTAACTTGTTAAACACTTTGCAAAAGAGTTAAGTCTGCACTTCAGTTGTCCAGGAGTTCACAACCAAGACAGCTAACCCGAAGACCCAAAAGACTATTACCACTCCTCAAAAAAAGCAGCTCAGGCATAATTGACTCCTTGGAATGCAACACGAATTTTACCGCCTTCCTGAGCCTTCCTGAATCGAAACACTGGCAGAGTTACACCAATTATTAAAACAACGAAATTTTGCAACACACACAGGTAAGGGTTCAACTGAATGAGGACCTGTGAAATAAGTTTTCAACAATGCTGACAGAGAAGCTTCAATTACACAAATTTTTAAAAAGATATATATTGCTTCTTCGATCAAATGCCGAGCTTTTCATCCCAGCCAGAAATCTAAAACTGTATTCTAACGTCGGTGAGTTCACCCAATACACCACAGATTTTTCACAGGGTGGAAGCAGGCGGACTGCGGGACGGGCTCCACCGCCTTTCCAGACTCCATGGCGAGGCAAGAGTCATTACATGGCAACATGTGCACGGCTTTCTCGGGGAAGCCAGCTCCTCAACGTTCTTGCGACCAACAAGTGGACGGAAACCTTGCCCTCGAGAGCGTGCAAACAGGAAAGAGAAAAGAGAGAAAAGAAAAGGAAAGGAAAGGAAAGAAAAGCAAAGAAAAGCAAAGAAAAGAAAGGAAAAGAAAAGAAAAAAGAAAAGGAAAGGAAAAGAAAGGAAAGGAAAGGAAAGCCCCTCGATGTACACTGCAAAACAGATAAATGGATTTGCAGATTGCAACTCAGCGGGACGTTTAAAAAATTTTTTTTTCTGGAAGCACCCATCTACCTCGACCTTTTAATTCAATTCATCCTCCCACCCCCAACCCGGTTCTCGTTCTCTTCGTCATTCAAAAAACCAGTCACAGGACCCGTTTCCTCTAATCCCTGGTCCACCCCACCACCACCACCACCCCGCTCCCCCGAGAAACACTGATCCAGGAAGGCTCTAAATCTTTTGGATTCTGGCCCCGGGAGCTCATTAACGTCCCCGAGCGCTCGAAAGCCCCGGGGGGGAGGCGACCCCCGTGTCCCCCTCCCCCCCCTTTTTTTTTTTTTTGCAGACGCGGCTAGCGAAAGGGTTCGGCAAGTTGCTCCGGGGCGTGGGGGCGGGGTGGGCGCCGCGGGGAGACGGCCCACGCCCACGGCCCCCCGAGGGCAGCCGCCCCGCACCCCGCGGGCGGCCCCGTCGGGGCGGCTCCCCCGCCGACCCCGCGCGCGAGCCGCGGGAGCCGCGCGCGCCGCCCGCCCGCCCGCCCGGACGTGTAGGGACCCGCGCGCCCCGCCGTCCGCCGGGGCCCCGCGCCAGCGCACGCCCCACCTCGCCGGTAAACAGCAAGTCCCCGGCGGGAGGACGCCCGCCCCGAGCGCCGCCTCCGCCTCCCCCGGCGCCGCGCACCATTTTCCGGGAGGAAGTGGCGGGAGGCCGGCGCCCCGCACGCCCGGCCGAGGGCGGACCCCGCGCTCCCGCGCCCCGGCGCTCCCGGCGCGCCCCCGGCTCCGCTCGGCCCCCGGGGGCCGCGCAGGGTGCGGAGGGGCGTGCGGGCGAGGGGGAAATTCCAAAGAGGGACGGGGAAAGGGGGAAGCGCCGCGGACCCCCACGAGCACGCCCCCGCGCGCCCCCGCGGCCGGGGCTCCCCTTGGAGGCGCCCGGAAGCCCCGCCGTCGGGCCCGCTCCCGGCCCGGCCCGGCGTCGCCGCGGCGCCCCCGGAGGGCAGGGCGGGCGGGCGGCGGGCTCCCGCGGGCGCTTACCCATCCATGGCCCAGACGGAGCAGCCCCCGGGCGGCGGGGAGGACGCGCGGGCTGGCCGCGACGCACCGGGCGGCGGCGGCGGCGGCGGCAGGCGGCTCCGAGCCCGGCCGGTCGGCGCTGGAAGGCGAGTGGGAAGCAGGGGCGGGACCAGGGACGCTCCCGCCAGCGCCGCGCCCCCGCCCTCCCGGCCGCGAGCGCGTCCCCGCCTCGCCCGCGCCCGCCCCTCGCGCCGCCGCCGCCGCCCTCGCCCCGCCCGCGCGCCTCCGCCTCGGCTCCGGGGCGCCCTCTTCCTGCCGGGGGGAGGGGGCGGCGGCTCCGCCTCCCGGGCCCCGGGGTGCGCGCGCCCCCGCCCGCCCGCCCCGCGCGCCCCCCGCCCGCCCCGCGCGCCCCCCGCCCGCCCCGCGCCGCCCGGGCGTCCGCGGGAGCGCGCGCCTTGTGCTCCGCGCCTCTCCCCGCCCCACCCGCCGTCCCCTGGGCCCCGGCCGGCCTTCCGGGTCCTCCCTCGGCCGAAAGGTGGCCCGACCTGGACGCCGCCCTCGAGCCGCGGGGAAGAGGTGGGACCCGCGCCCCGAGAGTGAGTAGGAGTGTCCCGGGACGGCGCCGGCGGGGACCCGGCTGGGCGACGACGGTCGGGGCTTTCCCCGCCGGGCCCCGGGTGGGCACCGTTAAGGTGTCGCCGGGGTGAAGCTGGGCACGGCTCGGGGCGGAGGGTGGGGAGTGCGCGGGGGGCGGGGGGCGGGGGGGAGAGATCGCCCTCCCACCCCCCCACCCCCGACTCGAGAGAGCCAGGCGACCCCTTGACAGCGCGTCGTTGGCGGTGGCTTGTCCGCCGGACCTTCTGCGACGACTTTGGAGTGGCCGCGCTCCACGTGTCCCGGTTCTGTCCCGGCGCCCGAACAGGCGAGAATCCACGAGGGAGCGCGCGTGCCGGTGTTTCGGCTGAAAACTTTGGAGCTGCGTGATTTGCCCACTTTCCGCCGCTTCGAAAGATGCGTTCGCCGCCAAGGCAAACGCCTGCCACTAGGGCCTTTGCTCCCGTCCGAGCAAACACGCGAACCCGAGCAGAGATTTATAGATCTGTTTGCTCTGTAACCGGAGGGGCAGCTGCCCTGCTCCCCCCGCCCCCCATTCGTCTCCCGACGAGTTTTGCAATTAAGTGAGTTCCCAAACGTGAGCCAGGGGACTCTATACCTAATTCCGTTTTGGGTTTTTTTTTTTTCAAATCATAATCATATCGACTAAAAAAAATTTCTTTTTTACTTAGTTACAAAGTTATTCATGATTGGGCTTCAGGCATACAGTGTTCCAAGGCCCATCCTTTGATGTGTCCTCTCCCCTCCACCAGTCCGCCCATTCCCCGCCCCACCCCCCACTAGCCCGCCTCTCTGACTTTTTAAGGCACTTTCTAATTAACTTGTGGCACTTGTAGTTTACAGTACTGTTACTGGTAGGGTTTCATGACTCCACCTAATTCTTAACCTGAGTGGAAGGATCAGGCTGCCCCCTCTCAAGCACCTCATCTAAAAAGCAAGTAATGAGAATCACCATCCTCCTGTCCTTGCTTATTTCCTGTCTTTAAAGAATTGCCTGCTAGTAAATAGGCTTAAATGATCTATTCATCATTTGTTATTATTTTTTTCTGCTCTGTAACAGGTACTGCAGGGGCACCTAAGAATATCAGGGTCCAGCCTTCAGTGTGCTTCACTTTATTTTTTTAGGACTATAAAATTATTTTAAAATATCTCAGGTAACTCATTTTTACTGAGCCTTTTTTTTTTGTAGTTGAAGTAACGTTATTACAACAGTGTTAACCCAGTTTTTATATATAAAGTTATTGTACTTTTCACCATTTCCATTGGTGAAACCATTACCTCAGTTTTGCTTTCCAAAAGGACATATATATTTTCTTATTTTTTTGTTTTTGTTTTCGGGTCACACCCAGTGGTGTTCAGGGGTCATTCCTGGCCTGCATTCAGGAGTCACTTCTGGCAGTGCTCAGGGGACCATATGGGATGCTTGGAATTGAACCTGGGTCAGCTGTGTGCAAAGCATACACTGTACTATTGCTCCAGCCCCATATATTTCCTTTCTTTTTTGGGGGTATTGGGGGGATGGTGGAGCACACCTTGTAGTTTTCAGGGGCTGCTCTAGTCGTGCAGGACATGTGTTGCATGGATCCAAAACAGTTATCTGCATACAAGGCAAACACCGTTACATCTCTCTGCCCTTATATTTTTGTGGGTGACAGTCAAATATTAAGTATGTTGCTAAGTGGCCATTAATATGTCAGAAAGGTAACTCTCAATCTTGCTATTTGGGGGAACTGTCCTTAATTTTTAGGGGGTCACACCTGGCTGTGCTTGAGGCTTACTCCTAGCTCTGCACTCAGGGATCACTCCTGGTAGGGCTCAGGGAACCGTTTGGGGTGTCAGAGATTGAACTCAGGGCAGTATTTTGCAAGGCAAGCACCCTATCTGCTGTATTATTGCTCTGGCCCCTCCTTAACTATTACTAAGTAAAGGGCTCTGCAAGCACTGCTCAGGGAGCCCAGGAGCCACTCCCCTACATAGTCCCTTTGTGCCCACATGAGAATGTGGGACTGCCTTGTCCTTGCAGTAACTGTAGGTGCTGGGGGTCTTTAGGGCTACACCCAGAGTGGTGGGGGGCTGTGTGGCATCAAGGTGCGCACTCAGTCTTAGCATGTACAAGCCTTGGACTCCTCTGTACTGCGCTACCTCCCCTGCTCTATTCCCATTATTATTATTATTATTATTATTATTAATTTTGCTGTGCTGGGAATGAGCTGGAGCAATAGCACAGCGGTAGGGCGTTTGCCTTGCACGCAGCCAACATGGCCGACCCGAGTTCGATTCCTCCGCCCCGCTCGGAGAGCCCGGCAAGCTGCCGAGAGTATCTCGCCCGCATGGCAGAGCCTGGCAAGCTCCCCGTGACGTATTCGATATGCCAGACACAGTAACAACAAAGTCTCCAATGGAGACGTTACTGGGCCCGCTCGAGCAAATCGAGGAACAACGGGAGGACAGTGACAGTGACAGTGCTGGGAATGAACCCAGGCAGGGCCTCTTACATGAAGACACGTCCTATACCAGTGACTCACATTCCCAGCTTCTTTTTTTAAAAAAAAAAAATTTTAGCTACATGATTAATATAAAGATACAAGCTCATTTTTCAAAATTTAAATATCATCAAATATATTTTTTTTCTTTTTGGGTCGCACCCAGCAATGCACAGGGGTTACTCCTGGCTCATGCACTCAGGAATCACTCCTGGCGGTGCTCTTGGGACCACATGGGATGCTGGGAATCGAACCCGGCTCAGCCTCGTGCAAGGCAAACACCCTACCCGCTGTGCTGTCACTCCAGATCCACAGCAAATATTTTTTTTACATAAACTTTTTTTTTTCTTTTTGGTCACACCTGACACTGCACAGCTATTTTTCTTGGCTCTGCACTCAGAAATTACTTCTGGCGGTGCTCAGGGAGCTATATGGGATGCTGGGGATCGAACCTGAATCGGCTGCATGCAAGGCAAATGCCCTACCTGCTGTACTATTGCTTGGCTGCATGCATCAAATATTTTAAAGTTACAGCTATTTTTTCTTTGTGAACCATCTTCTGCCCCAAATTACTAAAGTTTTGTATCTAAGCCTTCTAAGCAAACCAAACTCTTGATTTGCTTTCTGTACCTAAGAATCCTGGGGACTTTTTTCAAGTCAGTCCTTTCATTTATCATTTAATATATTCTTACTTATTTAATCTTTTCCAAAATAGTGGAACTATACCTTGTTCTAATTACTGAGGCGCTGGACAGATAAGAGAGGGGTTAAGGCACTTACATTGCATGTAGCAATGACTTGATCTCCAGCACTACATATGGTTCTTCCAGACAGCACATACTGTTCCCGCAGGCACTACAAAGGGTAAGTTATTAACACTACAAGCTGTGACCCAGTTCCAGCCTCCCCCCAAAATAAAACTAATTACTCAATAGCTAGCAAAATTGCGAAGAACACCAACTATGTGGCAACATCTTGGCACACTGAAGCATAGATTCCTAGAAGTAGAATTGCAGAACAGGATATAAGCATTTTCAAATTTGATGATTATTTTTAAAAATGCTTGGTCCTTTATTAAAACAGAGGAAGAGAGTTGGTTTTCTCCAAGATATATAAATCCTCCATATAGGAATATAGTCACAACAGACAACAAAGGGAAACCTTTCCTTGTTCAAAAACCTTTTCATGGATGGCCAAGAGGGATAGTACAGGTAGAACGTTTGCCTTACATGCTTGGGTCCCCGGCACCACATATGGTCCCCAAGCCCTCCAGGAATGATCCCTGAGCACAGAGCCAGGAGTAAGCCCTGAGCACTGCCAGGGGTAGCCCCAAGACAAAATAACAATAAAAAAGTTTCTCATGTATTGAGTACCACAGATTTCTGAGTCCTTCTGATGGAATTTAACCTTCTAGAGCACTTTCATTTATTTTATTTTATTTTTATAAGGTTGTTCACAATAATTTATTACATTTAATATTCAAACACCACCATATTTCAGATGTTTCCATCTCAAACCCCAAACTCTGCCCCAAAGCAGAACCAAACAGGCGGGTCTTATTTTGTATTGCTTGTTATGAATAATTCACTGAAAATGATCCTAAAAGTTTTCTTAGAGGAAAGTATGAGAAGATTGTTGTATTTCACCCAAAAGCCATTACTCCCTTCTATAGGAAATTAGTAACATATTGTTAATGGTTGAAGTTTATGTGCATATATAAATATGTAAAAATATATTTTCCCCTAAGATTGGTTGCCTGCTACTTTAAACCCCATCAAATGTGGTGTGCTACTCTCGGTATATTGCTGGTGTACGAGATGTCCCGGAACAGGTTGACTCGTGGGTGAGGCTCCTCAGAGTGTGTAGAGAGTGGCCGAAAGCATGGCTGAATTCTGGAGGTTTTCCACTGCTGAGGTTCCTCTGGGGCTGGGAGGGGCCTCACCCCCCCCCCCCCCCAGTTGCCCTGAAACAGCCTTGCTCAGGGTCTGCAGGCAGCTCTGTGGCATGTCGTTC